CCCCTCCCCCGGGGGGCGCCCGGTTCTCCCCGGGGATTCAGGCCCCCCCCCGCCGCTCCCGGTTCTCCCCAGGGGGTCCCGGTTCTCTCCGGGGATTTCAGGGTCTCCCCGCAGCTCCCAGTTCCCCTTACGGGCTCCCAGTTCTCCCTGGGGGTTCAGGGCCTTCCAGCTGGCTTCGAGGTCTCCCTGTGGACTCCCGGTTCTCCCCAGGGACTTCAGGGCCTCCCCGCGGCTCCCGGTTCTCCCCAGGGGTTTTGGGGCCTCCCATGGCTCCCGGTTCTCCCTGGGCTCTCCCCAGGCTGGCGGCAGGCGCCAAGGGGTGCCCCCATGGGCACCGCGCTCACCCACCTACATGGGATGCACGGAGGCATCACAGCGCTAGGGAGCTGCGCGCTGCTGTGGCCAGAGCCTAATGCATGTGGATAGGTGAAAATACGTATGGAATGCGGGCATATGAAAGCTAGAGAGTCTTACATAAAGATAGGACTGCATACGAATGCATTTGTGTGTTTTTCGCACACATATACCCATCCCAACACCTATAATTAAACATACAAAATGATATGCAGCCCTGGCAGCAGAAGTAGGTAAAATACCATGTATCATGTGTGCGTGTGTACATGTTTCTGCATTTTTGCTTGTGTCCAGGTAATGAGGAGAGGAGCTTTGTCTCCTCGGCACAGCAGTCAGCCCCTGTTCCCGTCCTTCCCGTAGCTGCATGTCCTCCAGATTGGGTCCTGCATCCTCCTGGGACTGCAATGCATAGTGGGGAAAAGCTGATTCCCAGAATTTTTGTCCCCTCTCTTTCCCTTTCAGAGACTGGAAAAAAAAAATACAATACATGCTTTGAACTGGAGGGTAGGGAAGAGCTAAAGTGTAGTTGTATCTGTTGTGCAGAAGATGTGAAGCAATGGGCAGTTTATGCATGCAGCAGCACTATATTCCATAAGATCTTTTACTCACCTTTCCCCAGGAGTGGCCTAAACGAGTCTTCTGTGCTTTGAAGGGTAACCTGTGCCAGGAAACACCTGCTATAATTCTGTGAGAACTGCCCTTGGATGCATTCTCGCTACAGAATGCCCGCCAACTCTTCTTCTATACCACCCCATACAGTAGAAACATGTCCACTAGGCCTATGTGAGATCCCAAGAGAACTGCTTACCAAAATCAGTGTGGTAGGCACCACTCCTGGTTGGGATGGGACAGTCTCCTCCCTAGATTCACCTGGAGTTTTTTACAAATCTTCTGCAAGCACACGCTCTTCCAACAAGCTACGTGTTGGTCTCTCGCTGCTTTGTCAGATTGGTTTCTCCCAATACCTACTGGTATCTTCCTGGCCATGTTACATCCTTCATTATTTGTCAGCCTCCTTTCATCCTCCAAAGCAGCGACATCTCTTTTAAGGAGTTTATTCAGAGGTTGACTGCTTTGTGAGTCTGCATAGCATTAAGCATTGAGGAGAGGCTTCTACTATTCACGATTTTCACCTTGGAGTATTGCTGCTTACCAATTAAAGGAGATTTTCATTCATGAATTCTGAATCATGGAACATCCTTAACTTTGTGTTGGAGATCACCCTCTCATTTACACACAAGTATGTTTGAAGTCTTGCACTTGTGCACATCAGCAAGATATGATTAGCAATCCTGAGAGAACTCCTACTGCAAAGCATGCGAACACTCATAAATTTCTCCTAAAATAAAAGTACAATGTTTCCTTCACCTTGTTTCACCTTCAACATCGGCATCTTCTGGCCACATGTTCATGTTACAAGCTCTGCTTTGCAATCGCGCTTCAGCTACTCATCTGTTATGCTTCAACATCTCTTTTTTTTCCTCTTGAGGAATTTGGTAAACGTTCCTGCAGATCATGGAAACAGCGAGAAAGGGGTATCTCATGCAATGTTTGGAGGAATGGCAACAATATGGCAATTCTACCTACCAATTTTACTTACCAATTGCAATGGCAATTCTACCTAGGGGCAGAATGTCTGTCCTTGTCCATGGTGGCTTTCTAGACTTCCTGGCTGGAACTTCTAAAGAACATGAACTTTCCTGGACTGCTGCAGAACCGTGGCCATCAGGGAGGCCTCATAGCCCTCCTGTGTTTGCGTGGGGGCAAACTGTTCATATCTGAGCCCTACCCAGCACCTTTTCTGCAAACCCCAGTTAGGGACAGGTGCTTCTGTACTCCAAGAAGAGTCTGAGAGCTACCCTGCATAAGCATCAAGTCTGCTCCATACGAAGTCAAGAAGAACTAGAACTGCTCAGTATGGCAGTTTAACCCCTAGTTAGAAGAAGGTATGAAGAAGAAGGTACTAAAACCTTTTGGGTATCAATGTGAAAACCAAGCAAACACAGTTCATGTAAGGGAACAGTCAAAGCCGTGGAGCCCAACTTTAATGGCAGAATAATGGAATTTCAGCAGTTTCTTCTCAGATACTTTATGATGCAAGTGAATCATTTTTGCCTCCTGAAGTTTTAAAACTGAATCCCAGAGCTCTTCCTCATCTGAAGTAACAAAACAAAACAAACAAGCAAAAGGATACAGTTTATTAGTTCAATGTAAAAAGGTCCTATGCTGAAGGGGAAATGATAAGGAATTTTACATAAAACTGGAGGAGCAGATGAAGAAAGAAGAGAAAGAAAGAACAAAGAAGAGTGTGAAGAGTGTGTGGTAGATTGAATTCTGACGGAGTGATATATCTAAAAAAAAAAAAAGAAAAAAGGAAAAAAGGTAACGTGGCTGAAGATGGCACTCCATGAAGTGCTTTTAGTAAAGATAAGGAAGTATTACCACTGCAATATAAAGTGTTCTTAAGGTCACACTTGAATTACAGGACAACACACTCATCTTTGATGCCTGCATACCCTTTTGCTTTGGCTCTGGCCAAACCTTTGCTTTTGTGCTCTCTTCAGATCTAAGTACATCCTCTCATATTCCTCTTTACAGCACACAGCCATAAGAAAGTTCAATTGGAAGACATTAAGGGCTGAAGAACTCCTTCTTCTTTCTCCTAAGATCTTCGAGTATTAAGACATCACCTTTGTTATCATCACAGTAAAAGAGAAGCATTAGCCTGGGTGATCCTCAAGCTCCCAAGCTACCTTGAAAAGGTTCAAAGAGGGTAACAACAGATCAGCAAGAACTGTTTTTTTTTTTTTTAATAGATTAATTAGAAAATCACTAAGAAGTGGTTCTATTTGTCAAAAATGGGGAATATGTGTTTACACACATTGTCACTGGGAACTACAACCAAATCCTCTCCCGCTTGGAGAAAGAAGCTGAACTGATGCTGCCACCAGCTGGTTGTTCACTGGTCTTTGGCCAGAAAGGGTCCTAGAAGAAGTCCCAGGAAGACTGGGGAGACTTCTTTTGGGGCCAGTGAAGCCCCAAAATAGCCTGAAAAACATGGCTACATCCCAAAATACATTGTGAGACTTGACAAAAGACAAGACCTGTATTGTGTTAAAAGGGCAAACTAATAACTGCATTCACAATCAGCAAGAGTTATCCAAGGCTATGGCTGGACCAGTTAGAACAATAAATTCAGAGCATCACAGATGTGATGCTGCTTTGTACTATGGAGGCAAAAGTGGCAGTTCCTTGCGTGCTTCACGGTCACATCTGCAAAGTCAATGTAAGCAGGAATTTGGTAAACACCATGTCAGATACCATGCAAAGGGTGAGCAGCTCGGCAGCCTGATCAATATTCTGCTTTCACTCTGCGCTGCTGCTTTACAAGCCCAGCAGCAATGGAAATAAATGAACCCTCCGTGGCCACCGAGCCTGATGCTCTGCTAGTCTCTTTGCAGGATGATTTGCTGCTGGTAAAAATGAGACCATAAAAGCAGACCGGTCATAGTATTTCTGTGCTTCTCGGTTTGTCGCTTATGTTCATTACAGATTCCTAAGTTCATGCTGAACTCACCCCAGTTGACCCCTGTTGATCAGCTAA